CCAAGATTTGGAAGTGCAGATAGACATCCAACCTTGTTGGGGGTTCATATGATTGGTATTTGAAGTTTGGTTCCTTGTTGGTTGGCTTTCAGGAAAAAGGGCGGGCAAGCTCCTAACCCCGCAGTGCTTAGAAAGCTGTTCTCTCAATTTTCCGGATGCAAGTTTACAAACTCACCTCGACCCTGGGAGCAACTTTAGTCATTTGAGAGTTGCGAGTTGTAGCGACCTGCCGTCTTCAGACTTGTGAAGACAGTCTTTTTTTCTAGGGGTTCAATCATTTGTCATGCATAGTTTGCTCATTTGTTTGTGATTTAAGTTATGTTTGCTTGCTTTGAACGATTGGTGGAGCAAGCGCGGAACTTCAGTCAGAAACCATGCACGCAAAAAAGTTTCAACATGAGACCCTTCCGCGTGTTGCCCTCCAGCCGTGGGAAAGAACAGACATTTTTGGAGCTTTAATCCCATGGGCGCTAGAACCCAAGCGTTGCTGCCATGTGCATCGTAGCATAGTTTGAGAGGAGCCAAGCTAGATCGCTAGTCCGGATGTCCCTGCAAGAGAACCACTGGTGAGAAGCACGTGACAGCAGAAACCTTTGATCAGAACCTCAGCTAAGACCTTTCACCTCACATACATTTGTTCAACATCGTTCAACAAGACTTCACTGGAGTCTCACACCAAAGATCTGGCAAGGTTCTAGGCCCTAAGTATCTCAAGTGACAGGGGGCTTTTTTGGTCCTTTGTGTGAACACAGCCCCGAGTGAGTCCCAAAGTCCCAAAAGGCCACGGGTTGGCGCATTGAGTTGCAGTGTACTTGGCCTCAAACATCGCAAGGGCCTCAAGGGCCTCAAGGGTCTTCTGGTAGAACTCATTTACACACTGGCAACTGGAATTTCCACATATGGGGCTGATCAAAAGGTCCTTTACATGGGATGACCATTGGGGCAAACCACGAAAATAATGATATTTCCCACATGGGAAGAGTTAGCCATGGTCATTTGGGGGCCAGGTATATTGATCAACCGCCACATGTTTTGCTGGCGTCTCAGGTTTTCCCACCGCCCCCCCCATTTCAGCGCCCGCGCAGTGCCCAACTGGAAGAAGCAGTCGGAGGCTTTCCGCAACGCCATCAAGCAGGCGAAACGGACCGACGCCCGACCCGCCGGCGTTGCGCGAGTCGACCCCAGGGACGGGACCCCGGGGCTCTTGGGGGTCCTGATAAATTGTCCTGGAGTTCTGTAATGTGGGTATGGGTCAAAATTAGACCAGCAGCAATTGGACCGCAGCTTTTTGGTCCATGTTTCCACTTACTAGGGTTCCAGTTGGGGCCGGGGTACCTATTTTTGTCCTACAGCCATGTTGATCCTATAGTAATGAAGCCCAGTGAATATTGATGGGGGGTGTTCCCCTCCAAAAGTGGTGTGGTTTCCCTCGTTTCGCGCAGGGACACCAATATGGGGTCGATATCAGTTGGTGGAAGTTGTTGGGTACCCTGGTTTCCAGGAGCGCACCCTGGGCTTGGAAGTGTACCCTGGTGTACCCCAAGTTAGAGGGTTGTTGTGTTGTTTTTGTGTTCAAGTGTTTTTTTGTCAAGTTGGTGTGCCTTGATTTGGTGTGTGTGTGTGTGTTTTTTTCCAAAATTTGTTTTAGTTCATAATCCAGTAAACTCGGTAAACTAAACACATGTAAATGCCCAAATGCCACGGGTCTGGGGCAATCGGATGTCCTGGCCATGAGATAGAGAACTGGCTGTCACAGCAGGAGTTGGAGTTCAGTACAGGCGCTCGCTTGTGCAGGCACGTGTGGTGGACCACTATGTGAAGGCGGAAATCCCGAGCGAAGGGAGAGGGTGGGTCCACGTCCCCAGGTTTTCCAAGACATGTCCCAGCAGAGCGGGGCTGTAAGATAGTTTTCACACCTGGCGCAATCCAGCCCCCGAGAAACATAATTCGGGGTATACCACTCTTTACATAGTGAATGCAATGGTTGCATAGTCCATGTATTTGTTTATTGGGGTGGTGGTTTAGGGGTGCTGGAAACTATCTTAGATGGGTACATCGGAGAGCATGTAGAAGCAAGCAAATGTTGTTTGTTTTGGATGGCATTTCAGGGTTTTGTGCTGGTTGGCACTTGAAGTTATGGAATGGTGGTTTCTACCAAGGACCCCCAAACTGCAAACTGGCAGTGCATCTTAAGGAGGGGTATGGTTCAAAAGTGAGCCACCAGACCGCAGGTTTTAGTCCCTTCTTCTATTTACCAAGGCAAGCCATTTTGGGTTCCTATTTTGACCCACGCCCATATGAAGCGCGGTCAGAGTTTACGGAAAAGGAAAGTAGTCTACACTTGGACATCCATATAGCTCCAGGTGCTTGACACCAAGGAAAACGATAGGGGACTCTCAAAATTCGAACGTACTTACTGTGAACCGCAAATTTTGACGGACCTTCATATGAGAAAAGCCGAGGCACAAAGCAATTGCTGGTTGCCACGGTTGCCACAGGCTTTGCAGTTGAGCAGCAGGCCCTTGGCCGGTCTAGGCTTAGGCCTTAGTCGCCAGTAGCTGTTTATCGGCATTGGGGAATCGGCCCCTGGGGAAAAAGCCCTCAACTGTGGGATAGCTGGCTTGCGGGTCTTACAGCAAAGTGAGCTTTCATATCCATGATGCAGCCAAACAAGCTTTGGCGCTGCTCATTTGGCATTCGTGGAGTCAGCTTAATTGGTGTGATCAAATGCCTGCGGTGATGCCCCGAATCCCTGCAGAGTGGACATAGAAGGGATAGGAATGTTATTGCTACAAAGGGCGACAAAGTTTTTTTGCCAGACTTACATTTCCTTTGAAGCTGTCGCATGCTCGCCCTCTTAGCTTTCGTTCATCTTCCTACCTTGCCTTTCAGCCAAAAGTCAATCCTGTTGCAGGTCAACCTCCCCAGTTTTGGGAGTCCGGTCAAACCTGTTCGCCTCTTCCGACTTCCCACGAGGAGGGAAAGCCGCTCTCATCGCTGCCACCACCGCCGCCTACAGATCCTGCCCTGGACGTGGGTGCCCAAATTCAACAGCCGTGGCTGTTCAATCCTTACCTTGGTCCTCAGAATGACCTGCGAATTATGCCTTGTTTCAAAGGGATCCTATAGATACATTCCCCAAATCCTTTTGATTCCCTGAGACATCCTGTGGTTTTTCCCTTTTGCTCGATTGATTTTTTGCTGTTTCCCACCAAACAAAGCGACAAGATGGGCTCAAAACAGCGGGGCCGCGGTGCTTCCGAGGATAGAACTCCCTGTCCCCACTGCGGGCGGCGATTTGGGCAGGCCCAAGCGGCCAGAAGCTCAGAGGTGTAGCGTTTGGGTTTCCATTGAACCCACTAAAAGCCCTAATGGGTGGTTTGGATTGCTGGCTTGGATAGGGAAGGTGGCAGGAGGTGTTCGATTTGTTTAGCTCTTGGTTTTAGAGGGAGTCTATCACTATTGAAACTGTAGCGCCAGCACTGATTTCAGCGGTGTTCCAATCATTTTCCAGTGCCATCAAATTTACCAAAAGGACACCTGCGACAAGCTTTGTAGGCAGAATGTGTTTAAGCAAGTGGACCCTGGTTTCAAAGAAGTTTGTTGAAACAAGTGTTGTTTAAGCATGTTTAAGAAGGGGGTTGAATCAACCCCGACCTCTGGTTTTCCTTCTTCCGCCAACCCCATCCATCTTGGCTGCTGTTGGCTTGGATCTTTTGGCTGCCTTTCTCCCCCTTGCAGCTTGTTCCTTTTGAAGAGACATGTTCCCCACAAACCAGCCAAAGTCAATCTGCTTCGGGGTAGCGGGTAGCATAGAGACCAGACTTTGGTCCTGGGAAAAGGTTAAAACATCGGCTTCAAGGGTCCTCTCAATGTGGTCCCCCCTTTGAGCTGAATTGACCCGGCACCTTTATTTACAGCTTAAGCATCACTTTCTAGACCTGCCTTTTTTTTTGTTTCTCTGTTGGGTCCATTGGGGATGACTAAGCATGAAACCTCAGCGGAACATAGCATGGATTTGTGGTGAACCCTGGGATTGGGTCAGGATTAGTGACAAAGTGACTCAAGCTAGATTGTCGTGAAGCAAGGGAAATCACCGGGATCCAAATTTGAGAGGCCCTGAAAATGCGACCACAACTCAAGGACCCAGTTCTGTGTTCTTTTCTGACTTGGCAACATGATCCACCTAGGCTTTCGTCTTCCCCCTGTGGTCGCACGCGCCACGCAGGGGCACGCCACGCAGGGGCCCGTTTTGCCGGACTGGGGTATCCATTTGAACAGTTTTCCCCTGGGGTCCCGGGCTGGCAACCATCGAATGGCTTCTTTGCTTGGAGGAGCGTCACATCCCCCACTGCGCCAAGTCCAAGCAAAAGCGAGGGAGGCTTGAGCCTGGCGGGGGGGGGGGAGGGCGCTTCTATCCAAGTGCTCAACGAGAACCCAAGTGAACCAACTTGGATGTGACTTGATTAGGAAAACCCCTGCGAGTGGACCTTGGAGAAGGGTTGAACCAAGCAGTCAACGGACACCACACCACCTTTTCAGAGCCCTCACGCAGAAGATCTCCCTTTTGGAGTCGATGGCTTTTCGGCATCTTTTCTCCGGGGCGAAATGGGTTTTGGCAACGGGGGGATTGTCCTCTGGTTTCTTTTGGGTGTCAGCTTGGCTTTTGTCAAACCTTTTGCACTTTCCATAGCATGCGGGTGTGGCTCGCGCCCTGTGCCAGGTGATCGACGCTTGGGAAGACGGAAAGCCAGTTGTTTCACCGGCACGCAAAAAGACACAGCTCGCTGGCAAAGCATCCATCTCGTTTGGATCTTATGAAATGCATCGAAGATGCCACAGCAGCCGTGTATTTAGCAATCGTTCAGTGTACAGTCGTATGCGACTGCTTTGGGAAAACGCTTTTCTGAGCTAGGGTGCTGTGCCACAGTGATGTTGTCGAGATGATTAGCGCCACAAGTCTCAATGTGTGTATGTGTTTGTCACAACTGCTTGCCCGCAGCAATTCGCAAGAGGCAGTAAGTGCGTCCCCCTTTGCGTTGCCTCACGACATGGCAGATAACGCGGCCGTAGCACCGGCGCCGGAGGTGAAGCCGCAGAAGAAGAGGCGCCGCGCCATGTGGGTACCATGCGGGCCTAAGTAATTTGAATGGGGTTGGGGTATGTTGGGGTGCATGGGACATACCTTACTTTAATTATGTTCTTAGCGCTTTTTGCGGATTGTGTGGTTTTCCGGACCAGGTCATGCGGCTTGCGGATTGCAGATTATGGGCTGCGTGCATGTTCGATGCTCCAGCACGAGGTTTTGGCCCACAATTTGCAGCGCAGATTACAGATTACAGATTAAGAAGATGACCAACCAGAACAAGGATTAAGCAGATGACAAAGTGTGATTAGGCCCCGGGGAGGTTGAACAGGCCAATTAGTGTTGTTTGCGCGTATACAGAACGCTACGCAGAAGCCAATAAAAATGATGGGCGTTTACCTTGTTTAGACCCTTTGGTGGTTTCGAGACCCACGAAACACGGCACCCATTAAAGGGTTCCATTTCTTTTCTAGCCCATTTCGTCCAGACAATTCAAGGTTCTAGCTTTCGGTCACTGGGCTGTTTTTTTCCTTTCTCGTGGCACAGAGGTTGCCTCGTTTTGCGCGAAAGGTGCGAGTCTCAGCAAATGCCAAACGGTGCATTATAGGCTTCAGCGGCCGTCCCAAGCTGCATGGCTTTGCGGATGAGTCAACCTTGCCGTGTTGGCCCCCCCAAAAAGACTTCTCACACACCACTTGCTAGTCGGTGCAGACAGTTTTCCATCCACGGATTTATGAATCCTAGATGTGATTTGTTGATGAGTCCTGTTCAATCAACCGCTGGTTGAGTATCCTTGAGCTACGGGTGCAAGAATCGAGCACCCCGCTTCTCCCGATCGGGACAAAATATATAGTAGGTTCTGCTGCCTGGTCTTTGGTGGCTATGCTACGTCCTCTTTGTAACCTTTACAATCATCTTGTCCTAGGGGCCCCCCAAAGAGGGGATCCCCCAGAAACGGTCCCCAAAATGAACCCCGGCTCTTTCCTATTTGGATTGGGGATCGGCGCCTATCGGGTATCGGGGGCCCTTGACATGGGATCTTGGAGCCAAAGGGTGGGAATGCGAACCAGTGCCATCCATGTCGAGCTGTTGCTTCGCCAGGTCTCCCAATCGCCTTGTGGTGGAGGAGGCTTTGAATGATGACAACTCTGTGCCCTTGTCCGAGCGAATTGGGCGTGGGCGTTATTCTTGAGGTGTTTGAAAGGAACACCAAAAGGACGCCGGCCATTTTGGGGTACCCCTATTCTGAGACACACCTGACTGGCCTGATTGATGTCATGGTGTGTTTGTTTTTGTTGGGGGTTGTTCTTAAGGGTTTCATGGCCTTAGGACTTTCGCTTCTTCGACGCTCGTTGTAAATGTAATTATATGTTTTGGCGGGCGATTGTAGCTGTCCTTATCCATGTTTTGTAGGGGATCCACGGAGCCCTCAGGGTTTGAAACACCTGGCTAACAGCTTTGGTAGAGCCTGACCCTTTGCTCAATCCAAGTTATCCTCCGAAAACCACTATCCCGGGGTTGAATAGGGATATACAACCAGTATATAGCCGCTGTATGAAGGGTATCCCCGCTTGTCCCTTAGTGGTATGAGTCTGAGGCTAGTGAAAACCAGCCAAATGAAAGCGGACAAGGGGCCTAGAGGATGGTTTTTGTGTTCCAAGACCTTCCTTTCCATAGGCAAGGCCTCAAATTGCGCAGCTCTCGCAAGTGGGGTGTGCAACCCTTTGGTTTGGGAACCACCTTAATAGTGTTTGGTGGACATTGGCATTCACACCGAGATGAGATGGTTATTCTGGATTGGTCTGGTTTCATGGCCCATCTTCCCAGGGAGGTGTCGTGGTTTTGGGAGCCCTGTTTGACACGAGGAAACACCATAGACTCCCAAAAGGCAAACATTGAACCTGAAAGGGGGCCGCGGAAGACGCTCCTTTTCAGGTTCCTGAGAGGGCGATACACAAACTCTGCTTAGCCAGGTCGTTGGATGTTCGGAAGGAGTTGAGCGTGAAGCCTAAACAGGGCTTCTTAAAAGATTAGATCTGGCATTTTGGACAAGTTCCATGTGGCAATTTGAGCAAGTACATTTTCTGCCAGACCGAAGGCAAACCATCAGTGCAGGTGGATGATCAAATCGCTGATAGAGCACAACAACAGGATCTGCAACAAGTTCGCCCAGGATTTGCGTCCGTGATTGACCTTCCTGCAGCCTGTTGGACCTTCCAATCTTCAGGGTTCGACGTGAACTGTATTGAATGTCACTCTTCATTCCAGGAATTCACCTCCAAATTGGCAAGGTTGTCGGTTCCAGATGGTTCCGAATATGTAACAATCGCCTACTGGCCTGTTTTTGCCAGCTGAGGTGGTCTCGCTGTCACAGGCAAAGATGGAGGAGCTGAACCTCTTCCGGGGAGACAACGTCTTGATCAAGGGCAAGAAGCGCAAGGACACGGTGTGCATTGTGCTTGCCGACGAGAACCTGGACGACAGCAAGATCCGCATGAACAAGGTGGTCCGCAAGAACTTGCGAGTTCGGTTGGGCGACATCATATCGGTGCATGCGTGCGGAGATGTACCTTACGGCAAGCGCGTTCATGTGCTTCCCTTGGATGACACCATTGAGGGCATCACGGGCAATCTCTTTGACACCTACCTGAAGCCGTACTTCCTGGAGGCCTACCGGCCTGCTCGCCAGGGTGATCTCTTCTTGGTGCGCGGTGGTTTCAGGCCTGTGGAGTTCAAGGTGGTGGGTGTGGACCCTGGGGAGTTTGTGATCGTGGCGCCGGACACGGTGATCCATTGCGAGGGTGAGCCGGTGAAGAGGGAAGATGAAGATCGTTTGGATGAAGTGGGCTATGATGACATCGGTGGCTGCAAGAAGGCCATGGGTCAGATCCGCGAGATGATTGAGCTGCCCCTGCGCCACCCCACGCTCTTCAAGACGCTGGGTGTCAAGCCTCCCCGAGGTGTGCTCTTGTACGGGCCGCCGGGCAGTGGAAAGACCCTGATCGCCCGAGCCATTGCCAACGAGACTGGTGCATTCTTCTTCCTCATCAACGGCCCAGAGATCATGAGCAAGATGGCGGGAGAAGCAGAATCCAACCTCCGCAAAGCTTTCGAGGAGGCAGAGAAGAACCTTACCTGCTGAGAATTGACAATGTCCATTTTGTCATTCTGTCTTCAATTTCATCTAGGCTAAGGCTCAGCAACACGCAGTCGGCTGTTCTTTGCTTCTTAAATGATTTGAGTTTCGGGCAAGTGAGGAACTCACCGGCCATCATTTTCATCGATGAGATCGATTCCATCGCCCCCAAGCGAGACAAGACGAGTGGCGAGGTTGAGAAACGAGTAGTTTCCCAGATGCTGACGCTCATGGATGGCACCAAGGGACGCGGGCACGTTGTTGTGATTGCAGCCACCAACAGGCCAAACTCCATCGACGCAGCCTTGCGCCGCTTCGGACGCTTTGACCGTGAGCTGGACATCGGCGTGCCAGATGACAACGGAAGGCTGGAAATCCTGCGCATCCACACGAAGAACATGAAGTTGGCAGCGGATGTGAAGCTTGAGGAGGTTGCCTCCAACACCCACGGCTTTGTCGGTGCAGATCTTGCTCAGCTCTGTACTGAGGCTGCCCTGACCTGCATTCGCGAGAAGATGGACCTCATTGACCTGGAGGAGGAGACCATCGACGCCGAGATTCTGGACTCGATGGCGGTGAGTCAGGAGCACTTCAAGTCCGCCATGGGCACCGTGAATCCATCATCCCTTCGTGAAACCGTGGTTGAGGTGCCCAACATCAAGTGGGACGACATTGGCGGCTTGGAGGAGACCAAGCGCTCCTTGCAGGAGACAATCTTGTACCCCATTGACCACCCAGAGAAGTTTGAGAAGTTCGGCATGCAGCCGTCCAGAGGCGTGCTGTTCTATGGCCCTCCGGGTTGCGGTAAGACTCTGCTGGCCAAGGCTGTGGCGAGCGAATGCTCTGCCAACTTCGTCAGCATCAAAGGTCCCGAGTTGCTGACGATGTGGTTTGGAGAGTCTGAGGCCAACGTGCGAGAGGTCTTCGACAAGGCTCGCGCGGCAGCTCCCTGCGTGCTATTCTTCGATGAGCTGGACTCGATCGGCACAGCACGCGGTTCCAGTGCGGGAGATGCGGGTGGAGCAGGTGACCGTGTGATGAATCAGCTGCTCACAGAGATCGACGGCGTGGGTGCCAAGAAGAATGTCTTCTTCATCGGGGCCACCAATAGGCCAGAGCTGCTGGATGAGGCCTTGCTTCGTCCTGGCCGCTTGGACCAGCTGATCTACATCCCGCTGCCAGACTTGCCGGCGCGACAGGGCATCTTGGAGGCCACCTTGAAGAAGTCGCCGGTGGCACCAAACGTGCCTTTGTCCTTCATCGGGCAGAAGACGGAGGGCTTCAGCGGAGCTGACCTGGCAGAGCTGTGCCAGCGAGCGGCAAAGGCTGCGGTTCGAGATGCCATTGCTGCTGATGAGTTGAAGGGTGATGACGATGCCATGGACACAACGATGGGGTCAGAGATCACGCGCAAGCACTTTGAGGAAGCTTTTGGGGGTGCGAGGCGATCGGTTGCTGGCTCCGACCTGGCCAAGTATGACCAGTTCCGGAAGAAGTTCGACCCCATCTACATGAACTCGACCGCAGGCGGCGGCTCAGGTGTTGTCATCAACTGGCCGGATGATGTGGGCATTGGAGCGGCTGCCGCGGCTGCTGATGACGATGACGACCTCTATGGCTGAGGTTCTGACGTGTTATGACGAGCTTCAGTTCAGTTCTGCCATTTGCAGTCGGCCCCACTTGTGATGAGTCTGTGGGCCCTTGATTCTTGGGCAGCTTCTGCTAGAAGGGCTGCCGAGCGGCCTTGGCGCAGGCGAACTACCTGCTTGCGTTTCACGTATACGGGGCACTTGCTTTCCTTCTGGCATTCTTGGCAATGCATCCATATATAGTTATCTTTGAGGAATTTCTTTCAATGGAAACTAGCAGGCAACCTAAAGGATACCCATGTTTGCAGTTCCTTGTGATCTGACAAGCTCGTTTTGACACTTGCTGGTGCTCCAAAGTGCGAATCAAACCTTTTCAGCTGCAAACGAACAGCCCCGGTGCCGCAGCCAATCGAAAACACATGCATGGGTTCGGATCGGCCTGATGTTGAGCTTGGGTTGATTCAAGTGCACCTTAGGGGGCTCGCCAAAATTGCCTTTTGGGGCTGGTCTATTTAAACAATGACCCCAGGAAATGTGAGTCCTCCAAATTGCGTTGGGTTATGTATCCCTTCAAACAACTATTTTCAGCGTATGTAAGGCTTCACTTGGATGGACCCAGGGTACCTGCCCATGGCGCGTGAAGTGACAACCGAGGGGTCGGCCTTGCCCTTTTTGCAGAGACGGGCGCATGCGGCGTAAGGATAAAGTTGTGATGTGGATGAACAACATGGAGTCGGGATGGATGAAACCCTATGGCCCTATGGATGCTCGGGCCGCCTACCGAACCGGAAGACTCGAACCTGCCCGGGTTCGTGGATTATTTTGGATCAGCCACTAAAACGGTCCGGGCGACCGGGCACCCAGGTTCCTCTTGCCACAGTTCACTGAGTTTCCTTTGGGGCGATGCTTGGTGGGAAATTGCGGCATTCTGAGTAGCAATGTAAGTTAGCACATGGACCCACCCATTTTGCTTGGAAATCTCCAACTGTGTGCTAACCAAACCTATTGGTTGAGTAGGCGGGATCAGTTCGCTACTCACTGGGTACGTCGACAATCGAATCGAACCGGAGCGCCTGAGCTCAGAACCCGAAGGCCCCCACGCGCCAAATTGCATTGTGCCATGGCGGAACCCCAGCCTCCAGCCCCGACCGATGCGAAGCCGGTGAAGAAGCTCGATTGAAGTCGGTGAGAACATGCACACAGGGCACCTGAAAGTCACCTATAGCCGAGCCTTCTTTTGGAAGACACCCCCTTTAGAGGTTTTACGCGAGTCCGTAGGGGAAATGCAACATCTTGGCAGTCAAGACTTGAAGACTTGAGACATGAGCTTTTTCAGAAAGCCAAAAGGACACCTCTTATTTCGCGCAAACCGTTCCTTTGCTGCATAGTTTAATTTCTAAAGAGAAGAGCTTCTAAACAGAATGTGGGGGGTACAGCTGTGAAAAGTTCGCCATCGGTTGGGGCATGTGTCAATTGCGTTTCTTTTCGGCGGGGGACACCAATGCCCCTTTTGTTCTCCTCTTCGCCTGGCCCCTACGGGGCAGCACCCGTGTAGGAAGCGCTCGCCCAACCGGCTGGTGGTGGAAGAGGCGCTGAACGATGACAACTCGGTGGGGAAGCCCAGAGGCCTCAAGTCGATTTTTAAGCAAATGCGATGAATGAGGTGTCCGATGGTATTCAGTGGGTGGTTTGGGGACCCTTGGTGTTTGTAACATTTTGTAACCTTTTCTGATTTACTCCAGGTTTTGAGAAGGGGCCGTGTCTCCATTGCTGGTTGCCTGTTCGCGGTTCTATGCCGTTGTGGAAATGTCAGATCCTTTTTCCTGCAGTCTCTTCAACGGACATGGGGAAGCAGGGAGTCAGTGGCAGGGGTTTGGCACGAGAGCATGAGTTGTCTTGCCTCTTCACTCTTCACTTGTTTAAAGTTGGTTGCAGGGCGTGGTGACCTGTCAGTATATTGTAGATTCGCGCGATGCTGCCTTCGACTTCTTTGACTTGCCTTTCTGAGCCCGCGGGTGCCACAGGCTTTCCTCGCGTCCTTCTTGGCAGTGGGCAGACATAGGCAACCCAAATTCTGTTGACAGGCTATGAAAACATCATGTGACCCTTTTGGCAGATTGACCGGGAACCATTGCTGAAAGGGCAAGCGAGAGCATGTAATTAACAGCAAACCGCAACCCCTTGCCAAAAGAGACAGGTCTTTGCCACGAAAAACCTACTTATTCCCAAGGCATGTGACTACAACTTGGTGAACAAGCAGATGGCAGAACCTCCCCATTTGGGTTCAATCATCCACTTCATTACTTCCACTTGCCTATTCGCTCCGTGGACTGGCCTGCTTTTGCCGGCTGAGGTGATCTCCCTGTCACAGGCAAAGATGGAGGAGCTGAACCTCTTCCGGGGCGACAATGTCTTGATCAAGGGCAAGAAGCGCAAGGACACGGTGTGCATTGTGCTTGCCGACGAGAACCTGGACGACAGCAAGATCCGCATGAACAAGGTGGTCCGCAAGAACTTGCGAGTTCGGTTGGGCGACATCATATCGGTGCATGCGTGCGGAGATGTACCTTACGGCAAGCGCGTTCATGTGCTTCCCTTGGATGACACCATTGAGGGCATCACGGGCAATCTCTTTGACACCTACCTGAAGCCGTACTTCCTGGAGGCCTACCGGCCTGCTCGCCAGGGTGATCTCTTCTTGGTGCGCGGTGGTTTCAGGCCTGTGGAGTTCAAGGTGGTGGGTGTGGACCCTGGGGAGTTTGTGATCGTGGCGCCGGACACGGTGATCCATTGCGAGGGTGAGCCGGTGAAGAGGGAAGATGAAGATCGTTTGGATGAAGTGGGCTATGATGACATCGGTGGCTGCAAGAAGGCCATGGGTCAGATCCGCGAGATGATTGAGCTGCCCCTGCGCCACCCCACGCTCTTCAAGACGCTGGGTGTCAAGCCTCCCCGAGGTGTGCTCTTGTACGGGCCACCGGGGAGTGGAAAGACCCTGATCGCCCGAGCCATTGCCAACGAGACTGGTGCGTTCTTCTTCCTCATCAACGGCCCTGAGATCATGAGCAAGATGGCGGGAGAAGCAGAATCCAACCTGCGCAAAGCTTTCGAGGAAGCAGAGAAGAACCTTAATCGACAATGTCCACTTCGTCATTCTGTCTTCAATTTCATCTAGGCTAAAAAACTCAACAACACGCGTTGTTCTTTGCTGTTTAACTGATCTGAATTCGGCAAGTGAGGAACTCACCGGCCATCATTTTCATCGATGAGATCGATTCCATCGCCCCCAAGCGAGACAAGACGAGTGGCGAGGTTGAGAAACGAGTAGTTTCCCAGATGCTGACGCTCATGGATGGCATCAAGGGACGCGGGCACGTGGTTGTGATTGCAGCCACCAACAGGCCAAACTCCATTGACGGAGCCTTGCGCCGCTTCGGACGCTTTGACCGTGAGCTGGACATCGGCGTGCCAGATGACAACGGAAGGCTGGAAATCCTGCGAATTCACACGAAGAACATGAAGTTGGCAGCGGATGTGAAGCTTGAAGAGGTTGCCTCCAACACCCACGGCTTTGTCGGTGCAGATCTTGCTCAGCTCTGTACTGAGGCTGCCCTGACCTGCATTCGCGAGAAGATGGACCTCATTGACCTCGAGGAGGAGACCATCGATGCCGAGATTCTGGACTCGATGGCGGTGAGTCAGGAGCACTTCAAGTCGGCCATGGGTACCGTGAATCCATCATCCCTTCGCGAAACCGTGGTTGAGGTGCCCAACATCAAGTGGGACGACATTGGCGGCTTGGAGGAGACCAAGCGCTCCTTGCAGGAGACAATCTTGTACCCCATTGACCACCCGGAGAAGTTTGAGAAGTTCGGCATGCAGCCGTCCAGAGGCGTGCTGTTCTATGGCCCTCCGGGTTGCGGTAAGACTCTGCTGGCCAAGGCTGTGGCGAGCGAATGCTCTGCCAACTTCGTCAGCATCAAAGGTCCCGAGTTGCTGACGATGTGGTTTGGAGAGTCTGAGGCCAACGTGCGAGAGGTCTTCGACAAGGCTCGCGCGGCAGCTCCCTGCGTGCTATTCTTCGATGAGCTGGACTCGATCGGCACAGCACGCGGTTCCAGTGCGGGAGATGCGGGCGGAGCAGGTGACCGTGTGATGAATCAGCTGCTCACAGAGATCGACGGCGTGGGTGCCAAGAAGAATGTCTTCTTCATCGGGGCCACCAATAGGCCAGAGCTGCTGGATGAGGCCTTGCTTCGTCCTGGCCGCTTGGACCAGCTGATCTACATCCCGCTGCCAGACTTGCCGGCGCGACAGGGCATCTTGGAGGCCACCTTGAAGAAGTCGCCTGTGGCACCAAACGTGCCTTTGTCCTTCATCGGGCAGAAGACGGAGGGCTTCAGTGGAGCTGACCTGGCAGAGCTGTGCCAGCGAGCGGCAAAAGCTGCGGTTCGAGATGCCATTGCTGCTGATGAGTTGAAGGGTGATGACGATGCCATGGACACAACGATGGGGTCAGAGATCACCCGCAAGCACTTTGAGGAAGCTTTTGGGGGTGCGAGGCGATCGGTTGCTGGCTCCGACCTGGCCAAGTATGACCAGTTCCGGAAGAAGTTCGACCCCATCTACATGAACTCGACTGCAGGCGGCGGCTCAGGTGTTGTCATCAATTGGCCGGATGATGTGGGCATCGGAGCGGCTGCCGCAGCTGCTGATGACGATGACGACCTCTACGGCTGAGGTTCTGAGGTTTATCTTGGTGGCCTGCTTTGCTTAAGATGCTTTGCCGGCTCAATTCGGGAGAGAATTCCGGCACATCCTACTGGCCGAAAGGGGCCCCAAGCCGAGTACCAGCGGATTCTCAACATTTGAGTTTGTTGCTTGATTTTGTCAGGGAATCCGCCGTACTAGCAACTCGCCAGGTTAGGTTCAAGTAGGGTGATGCTGGCAGGAGGGATATATCACTTCTTTCTGCTCTAGCAGTGGACCTGGATCCTGCAACACATGGGCAACGTTCATGCCCAATAATTTGCCACCGCGCAACATGCAGCTACCCAAACTGAACATGAATCAAGCTCCCCAACCGCTAGTGTTGCAGGACGATGCATGGATTGCGAGCGGATACCACGATTGCACAGAGGTGGGTCACAGATTGAAAAGTGCTGCCATTCATTTAAGAATGGATGACTTTCCCATTATTCCCAATAATGTCCAGACAACTGCCAGAAATCACGGGACAATGGTGGGTTCGTGAAAGAACCATGGTTGAGTAGATTCTTGTAAGCTGGGTCATTTCCGGAAGCGAGTTGTAAATGGTTGTGTCAGGTTCCATGAAGAAGGAACCTCTGGATTCCTGCAAAATCCGTGGCCACGAGGAAGATGAAGAAACAAACCAGGAGCCGGTGGGAGGCTACTGCTGCCAGGGATTTGGAAACCTTCCCACCTCCCTTGTTGGGCAAGAGTCAACATGGGTGGTCTCCTGAAGTCGCATTGTTTTTGCATGTACCGGTATGGTACAACCCAGGGAACGAGTGGACCACCAGTTCACCTCCTCCGGGTCTACATCAACGCATTTATCCAGAAAAGCCGAAAGCCAATTTTTGTTGGCAGCCGAAAGCACCAGAACTCGAGGCTTGGCTTGGGAGCAATGGCGGATCCTCAACCTCCAGCGGCTCCAGCGCCGGAGGTGAAGCCGCAGAAGAAGCTCAACCGCAATCAGTTTCAGCTCTTGATTGCTCTTGGCTTCGGATCTTTCGATCTGAGCTTTTTGGTTGAAATCCATGGTTTTCCGCGGAGGGGTCAACGGCAACCAAGAGCTTCTGGGCTCCCCATATTTGCCCTTACATCACCCGCCGAAGGGGATGTCGCTTCTAATTGGCCCAGAAGACGATTTTAAAAAGGCCTGCCAAAGGGCGAATATATGGACCCCTGACCTTTGACTGTGGGAACATGACAGCGACATTACCTTGGGCGTTGCGAACGTCATGTGATGAAGGGCTCCTGCCATAGGGATCCCTATTTTCGCTCGTCCAAATGACGTTATGACTAGCATGGACTACTATGGACTATATTGGTATCACAGAAAGTGTTATGTTTTGCCCCCGTGCTCCGAAACAAACCCCACTCGGTGCTTATTTTTCGCATTTCCCAAGGGAATCTGTTGCGGTGGTGGCCCTTCACCAGAGTCAAACGTGAAACGGACCGCTCCGGAACGAACACAAGCGATATTTGACACATTGTTCCCCAGATGGAAATTAGATAGGTTTTTTCCCAGTGGTTCAGAGCGGCGCGCTGGGGTTCTGGAAGGGTTGCGGGGGTTGCTGGACTATCGATCTTTTGATTTTTTGTTTTGGTAATACTCCAGGAGAGTATGAAAGCGGGAGACGCACCGCCCGACTATGCTTGGCAGTTCCCAGCCATACCCTTCAGCCATTACCCTTGGATATGGATAACATATCCATATCCCACTAAAGCAAGAACTTTTAGCGAGGGATCAATGAGCCACAAAGTAAAGGCCTCCACAAAAGCATGTTCCTTTGGTGCAAGGGAAGGCTGCTGTACCTATAAGCCTTTTTGGGCTGGGGTTTTGGCTTTTGGTTTCCCCCCACAACAACCTCACAGTACCCACTTCTCGTGGAGCATACCGTGAACATCCATGTGTTCCATGGCAAGCGACGTGATGTCAAGCTCCCGTAGGTTCACGTGATGTCAAGCGGCTCACCTGACACTTTGTAACATGTGCATATTATTTAAGGAAGCGCTCGCCCAACCGGCTGGTGGTTGAAGAGGCGCTGAACGATGACAATTCGGTGGGGTGCTCAGTCCGGGCTCCGGACTCTGGGGCGATTGGGTTCCCTATCTCGAGATTGCATGCGAATCGAACGGATCTGACATCGGGCCTTACATCTCCCCTTCGGCTTTGGACGTCCTTTTGGGCCAATTTCAACTGAGACTCATTTTGGTAGCGTGACCCTTACACGAAGCCAACCGTTTCTGTGGGTGAAGTCCAAATTCTAAATACCTATGATCTATTTAGCTGCACCGTCTTTGCTAAGTCAACATTTGGCAGTAAAGTTTAGGCGCTGGGTGTGTCGGAAGCTGGCCCGCAAAATAGACAAAGTGTCCACGTCACACAGTCACACAAGTGCGTGGGGGGTGGGGGGTTCTTGGGCATTTGGTGCCTGCACCCTCCTTTTCCATTGCCAGGCGCAACTTGCCTTTTGCCCTTTTGGGTTTCCTTCTTGCCCCCTCTGCAGCAAGATGTTACTCGTGGCTTCACAAAGCGGCTTGATTGTTAAGGGCGGGGCTTGGGCAATGTGCCCAAAGGCTGAATGTATCAACCCGTGTATGAATCCCTAGTGAAATGGCTACTTAACAGTCTTAATTCTAGGAAGCCGTCAAGAAGTCCAAAATCGCAATGGGTTCACATATTGTTGCTACGATAGGCCTTTGAACTGGTTGCCTGCAGGCTACATGTTAGGTGTACGCAAGACAGTCTCGCCGCAAACCAAATAAGAGGCAACACTCGAATCACGAGGTTACAGCGCTATGGCATACATTTGTTTATCCTGATTGTGCACGAAAACAGCTGGCGCATTGTGCTGTACCTGAGCCTTTTGTGGGCATTCCATGGCCTGCTTTTGGCGGCTGAGGTGATCTCCCTGTCACAGGCAAAGATGGAGGAGCTGAACCTCTTCCGGGGCGACAACGTCTTGATCAAGGGCAAGAAGCGCAAGGACACGGTGTGCATTGTGCTTGCCGACGAGAACCTGGACGACAGCAAGATCCGCATGAACAAGGTGGTCCGCAAGAACTTGCGAGTTCGGTTGGGCGACATCATATCGGTGCATGCATGCGGAGACGTGCCTTACGGCAAGCGCGTTCATGTGCTTCCCTTGGATGACACCATCGAGGGCATCACGGGCAATCTCTTTGACACCTACCTGAAGCCGTACTTCCTGGAGGCCTACCGGCCTGCTCGCCAGGGTGATCTCTTCTTGGTGCGCGGTGGTTTCAGGCCTGTGGAGTTCAAGGTGGTGGGTGTGGACCCTGGGGAGTTTGTGATCGTGGCGCCGGACACGGTGATCCATTGCGAGGGTGAGCCGGTGAAGAGGGAAGATGAAGATCGTTTGGATGAAGTGGGCTATGATGACATCGGTGGCTGCAAGAAGGCCATGGGTCAGATCCGCGAGATGATTGAGCTGCCCCTGCGCCACCCCACGCTCTTCAAGACGCTGGGTGTCAAGCCTCCCCGAGGTGTGCTCTTGTACGGGCCGCCGGGCAGTGGAAAGACCCTGATCGCCCGAGCCATTGCCAACGAGACTGGTGCGTTTTTCTTCCTCATCAACGGCCCAGAGATCATGAGCAAGATGGCGGGAGAAGCAGAATCCAACCTCCGCAAAGCTTTCGAGGAAGCAGAGAAGAACCTTACCTGCTGAGAATTGACAATGACCATTTTGTCATTCTGTCTTCAATTTAATCTAGGCTAAGGCTCAGCAACACGCAGTCGGTTGTTCTTTGCTTCTTAAATGATTTGAGTTTCGGGCAAGTGAGGAACTCACCGGCCATCATTTTCATCGATGAGATCGATTCCATCGCCCCCAAGCGAGACAAGACGAGTGGCGAGGTTGAGAAACGAGTAGTTTCCCAGATGCTGACGCTCATGGATGGCATCAAGGGACGCGGGCACGTGGTTGTGATTGCAGCCACCAACAGGCCAAACTCCATTGACGCAGCCTTGCGCCGCTTCGGACGCTTCGACCGTGAGCTGGACATCGGCGTGCCAGATGACAACGGAAGGCTGGAAATCCTGCGAATTCACACGAAGAACATGAAGTTGGCAGCGGATGTGAAGCTTGAAGAGGTTGCCTCCAACACCCACGGCTTTGTCGGTGCAGATCTTGCTCAGCTTTGTACTGAGGCTGCCCTGACCTGCATTCGCGAAAAGATGGACCTCATTGACCTCGAGGAGGAGACCATCGATGCCGAGATTCTGGACTCGATGGCGGTGAGTCAGGAGCACTTCAAGTCGGCCATGGGTACCGTGAATCCATCATCCCTTCGCGAAACCGTGGTTGAGGTGCCCAACATCAAGTGGGACGACATTGGCGGCTTGGAGGAGACCAAGCGCTCCTTGCAGGAGACAATCCTGTACCCCATTGACCACCCAGAGAAGTTTGAGAAGTTTGGCATGCAGCCGTCCAGAGGCGTGCTTTTCTATGGCCCTCCGGGTTGCGGTAAGACTCTGCTGGCCAAGGCTGTGGCGAGCGAATGCTCTGCCAACTTCGTCAGCATCAAAGGTCCCGAGTTGCTGACGATGTGGTTTGGAGAGTCTGAGGCCAACGTGCGAGAGGTCTTCGACAAGGCTCGCGCGGCAGCTCCCTGCGTGCTGTTCTTCGATGAGCTGGACTCGATCGGCACAGCACGCGGTTCCAGTGCGGGAGATGCGGGCGGAGCAGGTGACCGTGTGATGAATCAGCTGCTCACAGAGATCGACGGCGTGGGTGCCAAGAAGAATGTCTTCTTCATCGGGGCCACCAATAGGCCAGAGCTGCTGGATGAGGCCTTGCTTCGTCCTGGCCGCTTGGACCAGCTGATCTACATCCCGCTGCCAGACTTGCCGGCGCGACAGGGCATCTTGGAGGCCACCTTGAAGAAGTCGCCTGTGGCACCAAACGTGCCTTTGTCCTTCATTGGGCAGAAGACGGAGGGCTTCAGTGGAGCTGACCTGGCAGAGCTGTGCCAGCGAGCGGCAAAAGCTGCGGTTCGAGATGCCATTGCTGCTGATGAGTTGAAGGGTGATGACGATGCCATGGACACAGCGATGGGGTCAGAGATCACCCGCAAGCACTTTGAGGAAGCTTTTGGGGGTGCGAGGCGATCGGTTGCTGGCTCCGACCTGGCCAAGTACGACCAGTTCCGGAAGAAGTTCGACCCCATCTACATGAACTCGACCGCGGGCGGCGGCTCAGGTGTTGTCATCAATTGGCCGGATGATGTGGGCATTGGAGCGGCTGCCGCGGCTGCTGATGACGATGACGACCTGTATGGCTGAATAGGGGTGGAAAGATGGAAAAGGCTATCAATTCGTGCAGAAACCTTCTGATAGCTACCAGGCGGTTTGTTCAAACTTGCACACATACTGGTCTGATGCGACCCCACGTGACAAAAATTGCGTGCCGCGGGCAGAATTTAGCGCAGAGAGCTTGCATGAGGTTCATGGAGATGTCTTCTTTCAGTCGATGAAATACAATCATTCGATAAATGCCGTGTGCGCATGCTCGTACCAGTATTGGGTACCCAACGATTCATAGCCGCCTGATTTGTTCGCACTGGCGGTTCAGAGGCTTCAGCTGGGTGTAACATGACAAGGACACAAATTGCCTCCATGCCCGGGGCCAGGGTGGGCCAGGAACGCGTCAAAGTCCTGCGCTGACCCACAGAGCACATTGGCTAGACTTGCCGAAAGCGAAGTCAGGGGGGGACCAGTTTCCGGCAAAGATACGCACCTTCGGATCTTCACTGGACAGTCGCAACTCATGCTCAACTGCGCATCCAAGACTTGCGGGTGTTGTTCCTCCTGGTTTTGTGATGATTTGCCTGAACAGCATGGGGAGAATTGGGGTTTGGGTCTCCCTATTTGGGACAAATCTGTGTGATAATTTTTTGGGGCCTCTCCAATTGCTCCATGCGGCCATGGAGAGACTTCGAACCAGAAGAGCGTGAAGGCCTGGTGCGCGAGGCCCAGGTGCTCTTGGATAGAGCCCTGGCAGTAGCACACGAGCATGTGGGATTTCTCGAGGTTGACTCGCCCCCATTCACCCATTCTGTTGCTCAGAGAGCAGTTTGTGTGTAGCCAAGGTCCGAAAAGACTAGCCTTTGAATGCCTTTGACTTCCAGGTTCGTTGGTTGTATGTGTGGTGTTGGGTTTGGCCAAAGGACCCTACAGAGACCCTACATTTCCCCTTCAACATCACCCTTTGGGCCAATTCGAAGCGAGAGTGATGTTCAACTTAAGGGGGATACATAGCTGGGCCAAGCTTTGGTACCATCTTGGTTTTACCCTTTACTAAGATTATGATGCTACAGGTGAACATTTTAGTTGGATGGTTGTACGACAACCAAGTTCTGACTTGTCCAAAGAAAGCCATACACTCAAGCAATACTGTGTGTGTATTTAGTTGTCATTGCCTAGTGGAGGCTTGCACCGTTAAATCCTTGGGATTTGAACCAGGAACCTCTTTGCAACAGTCATGGACCATGAAGTGGACAGGCCCTAAGAGCATGTTCATCTTCCAAAGCCCTTCTCACTTCCATTGTTCAAAAAAGGGTAGGAGTTAGTCTGGGGTCTCCTCCAAAAACATGTAACTTGCTGGGGTTACTAAATATGAAACATTATCAGATCTTGTTTCCCTTCGTGCCCCACATGCGGGCCAAGTTGGGACCCCCAAGCACATCAACACACCTCCATGGACGACCAAAGCAACCAAAGCTGGAGGCGTCTTGTGGGGTGACAGGTCGGTTGAAGCCACCTTGGTGGAAACACCGAGGAATGAACCTCAGCGCTGTGACGGTTTTCTCGGTGACCTCGGACGTGAAAGCCGCCACTGGCCTGGTCCAGGAAGGTGGGGGCGTTTGATTCGGAGAATGAGGGAAATCCAGACAAGGTCCCTATAAGCAGGTCCATATTTTCCTAGCTCAGCCGCTTTGACCTCCAGTGTGGGTTCTCGCTATTTTGCTTTGTTACTTCAAGTTCTCTAACTGGGGCAGACTCAGGATACATGTTAGTGAAGCAAGCAATAAAAATACATTCTATAATCTTGTGGGCTCATCTCTTATTGGCCCAGTTTTAGTCATGATAGCAGAAGGTTAAATGGACCTTGTAGTGGGTTCCATGTTAGTGGGCGGCGGGACCTTTTTTTCTCCTGCCTATTTGCACAAGTTGGTACAACATGACATATGTTGAGCTTGTTCTTATAGCGCCCGGATAAAACCTTATCAAAAGAGAACAGTACCCTCCAAAGGTGATAGCCTTTGGGAGGGGCGAACGGGCTTTTATGGCATGTGTGAAACTGCGACCGAGCGGAGCGCGCCCATGGTACCACAATGTGATGCTTTTCGCTTGGCTGGCCCCCCCAAATCACACGGGGCCGAGTTGGGAATCCCAAGAGGGTACTGTGTTAGGGGCACATGTTCACAGATAACATGATGATGATGACGATGACGATGACGACGACGACGATGATGATGCTGATGCTGATGCTGATGCTGCTGATGATGATGATGATGATGATGACGATGACGATGACGATGACGACGACGACGACGACGACGACGACGACGACGATGATGATGATGATGATGATGATGATGCTGATGCTGATGCTGATGCTGATGCTGATGCTGATGCTGATGCTGATGCTGATGATGATGACGATGATGATGACTTCAACTTGTTTGGCTTTGGCGTTTGCATTCCTGGCGTGCAATAGCGCATGTTGTTCAATGTGTGCCGGTGTGGGTGTCCATTTGTTTTGAACTTCCGCGCCTTTCAGTAAGTTACTATAAGGAATATCAAGCCACCCCGCCCGGATCGCAACGCGTGCCAATCAAGCCCCCGCCCGTTTTTGCCGGGCCAGTGGGGGATGAAAAGCCCATGTTCTGTTAACTGAAATACTGGGTCCTAAACGTCCCAGCTGAAAAAAACAAAAACACCATACCTCAAGTGGGAAACCCAAGGATTGGAGGAATCAAGCCCTGAAGGTCAGGATTGCAGACTTTGCATCCTGGGCTTTGCCTCCATCGATCAGTCCCAGGACGCTTGGCCTTGGGGCTGACGGCTGCGACCTTCAGGGAGCTGGGCCGTTCAAAAGCGATTCCCTACATGGGTGTGTGTGTGTGTTTTTTAGGCGACCCCCAAAATGGTGGTGTTTAACTTGTGGCTTGCCTTTTCAATTTCAAAGCCACCGAAAAAAAGAGGTACCCCCCCAAAAAGGGCAGACCCACATGTTCCGAACAGGTGGATTAGCAAACGAGACCCCCCGCCATTTTGAATAACTCAGGCAGCAAGGGGTAATTCCGACTTTGTGACCAAGCGCGTGGGGCTATATTTATCTCCATTTTCTGGGTCAACGTGTGGTACCATCTTATATATATATATATATATGCATATGTATATTATATATTTATTTGTAGTAATATTTAATATAGGTCTAGTAAAACGATGATGCTGCTAAAGATTCAATTCACAGGTTTTGGCTTGGCATGCTTAGCTGCCAGGTGGGTTCCTTAACCTTTACTTTTTTGGCTGATCATGTTTGGTTTCCCACTACCCGGATCCCCAGTTGCCATTATTTTCCAGCTACTTTGGCCAAATTATGGGCTACTAGTGGGTAAAGTGGTTGGAGAAAAGTGGCTACTTGGGGATCCACGTAAGGCCATTGCCACCAGTATTTGTGGGTCGCTAGCAGGGATTGGGGCAGGACCTGCAGAAGCTTGCGGCATTCTTCCCGGTCTCTGACCTGCAGGCTCCAATCCTTCGGGACAGGGACTGACCCTGCGCTTAAAGAGTCCACTGAGAGATAGCAAGTCAGGGGATTGAAAACCTAGTCGAAATCGGAATAAATGTAGTACACGTCGTTCGTCCAGGATGTCATTCGGCTTTTGTTGGGACTGTGCGTATGGTAAAAGCAGATTACAACAGCCTGCTTTCCAGCGATACCACGAGGGGTTGGTTTTGGCAAATGAGGGTTGATCAAATTCCTGGCCGAACCAAAATGACTGGCCATCTCACGAGCCAGACCCGTGGCTAGACCTTTTTCCCAAGCGTTTCCCCAGCACGAGCACTAGGCAAATTTTAGGCACAACAAGCCTAGCCCTGATCAAGGTTCTAGAGGTTGCCTTGTTTCCATTTTGGGAATGATAGCAATTGACTGTCTGCTGACTCACAGCCATTGTGCCATCAACAACGCGAACCATTGCTTCTGTTGTGCCGAGCTGTTGCCGACATCCCTCGAATCCGGTCATGGGGGGGTCCGAGGGGGCAACATATGGCCATCTCAGGCGGATCTTCGGCAATTCTCAATGGGTCCGCATTTCGGATCCTATTTACCACGCACGTTTGCTTTTGAAGATTGCCCTGTAGGCTGACCTAGAGCTGGGCTCAACAAGGTTATGAAGGTGTCCAGTTCCTAGCTTTGTGTCCAACCCATTCTGTAACGTGATGTGTTTTCCATGCTTCCGGTTTGTGAGTCGCAGTGCCGAGCTTCAGATCTTAGGTGTGCGTGTGCGCACCTACGAAAGCCGACTCACCAGACACCCAATGGGGCGCTCAAGCCGCAATTCTGGCACAGGTTGAAGAAGAAACCACCCCTTGACCTTCAAACCATTGATTGGAGGGAGGCTTATGGTGTCAAAGTCAAGGTTCTAGTATAACCCCTTCCCCACTGCCAGACCCCAAAGCCAAACCCTAACTCTATCCCAACCGACCCCGCACAACTGTGTGGGTTGGAAGATTGCCCGTGGCTGTTGAGCACCTATAAGACCCCAAGCCCTTTGTCCAGATTAGACTCACCACACCTAGACCCTAAACATCCCTAAACCCTTTGTCCAGAGGCGATTCTCCTCTCACCGACTCGCCGATCGATCGGATGGATGGATTTCTCGGCAGGTGGCGGTGAACCTGGCGGAGGGCCCAGTGCCCGGGGAGAAGGGGGAGGTGTGCGCGGCCTGCGTGAGATGCTGGAGCCGCTGCGGCAAGTCCCCCGCAGAGTTTGCGCCATGGAGTTGGTGGGGCTGGGGTTGGTGATGGGAGCTGGGGGTGGCATGGGGTGGCAGCCGTGCCCTTTGTGAGGACGGCGCCTTTTGAGAGGCTTTGTTTGGAGTCTGACCCAGGTAGAAGTCTGGGGTGCGTGAGGCGAATCAAAGAGTGCCGAAAAGGTGGCCATGGATATTGCTGGCTCCAGGAGCCAAGGATGGTGAAAGCATTGCCAATTAACATGGAACCTGACAGGGGGGTCCTGGAAGACAATGTTTCTTTTACAGGGACTTCCTGTCAGGTTCCATGTCAATTTGTGAGAGGGTAACCTGTTTGCCGTTTTGCCGTTTTGGTTTGAAAGCCTTTCCAAATCACTAAGAGCCAGCAAGTCGAAACAATGACTAAACCACTAAGGTTCGATTTTGGTGGGAGAAGTAATGTGCCCAAAAGCCTTTGACGTCCATTGACTAGAATGAGGACCGGAGCCCCCCCCCCTTTCCGGCTCCATGTTTGCTTCTGGGAGTACTGAGTTCTTTGCTTGGGTGTTGTTTTTGTTTGCCCATGTTTAGTTCCCCTGGAGAAACGCAAAGCGGATGGGCAATTTGGTGATTCTTTTTCTGGACCCTGTTTGTCAGCTATCCCTTGGTTGCCTTGAGGATTTGAAATTATGCTTCCTTAGGATTTGAAATTATGGTTCCCGTAGAGGGTCAAATGGGAGAACCACAGTAAGAAAAGGCTTCCCCATTTAAGCTCAGCTCTACCCCATTTTGCAACAGTTAGTGTAGAAACCACCCCAAACCACCAGTCCAAACCACCTAGAGGGAAGCTTGCTGCTTTGGGATTTGGCGGCTTGAGGATTTCAACCCCCTGGTTCTTGTAGAGGGTAAACGTGGAAAATGCTCCAAACCACCTGAGTTGGCCCCATTCAGACCGAATCCATCGATCGGATCGAGGTGCCCGGCAGTGACCTGGCGCCGCTGCAGGCTTTGCTACACTCCGTCGTCGAAGGCTCCGGCGGAGTTCTGCGAGTTGCGGAGCATCAAGAGCTGTGGGCCCCTTGGATTTGATTTTTTGGGAGGGGGGGGGGGTTCTGAGAAGCATAGGTGTCCTTTTTGGTCGTTTTGAAAAATAGATGGCCCTGGTTTACCTGGTGTTTTTTTTTTTTTTTTTTTTATCATCTACCAGGACCATTATTTTACCCTAAAAGGACACCTATGCTGAGAAGTGGCTTCCATTTGCTTGAGAATGTTTGCTCCTCTCCTCCTTGGTTTTTGAAGGGGGTTTATCACTACTGGAAATCTGGTTTGTTTGTTCCAGGAGACCTGAGCAAATGGAGGGTGGGTGGGCGTGCCTTTGGGTTTCCTCAAATCAGTGGCTTGGTTTTTTGTTCCACGTGGCTTTGCATTTACCTCAAGAACCAGGGTTCAAAATCCACCAACTCAGGGGCGGCCACGGTTCTCCTGAAGAAGCAGAAACCCAAGATGGGACTGGGACCTAGTGACTAGGACCTTAGCATACAGCCCTTCTTCGACTCCCAGGCCACCTCGAGCGCGGTGCGCTCGCTGCGCTGCGCGCAGATCGAAGGCTTCGCAGAGGGCGCGGCGAAAACTGGGCTGGGGCGCTTCAACGTGATGGACTCGGCGCAGTGGCCCCTTGGCTGCTGAGTTCGCGGCTCAACCACTCCGGTTCCTTAGCCTGGCCTTGCAGTTTTGGTTCGTTTTACCAGCTTGTTTTTGGAATTTGCTTGGTTTAGTGAGCCCAGAAACCTTGGCATTTGCAGTGGTGGAGCCACGAAGATGGCAACCGGTAAAACCGCGAATTTGGATCTATGACCCGGGATTGAAAGAATGAGACACGGGACGAATCTAAACAAGCTGCAGGTGAAACATGTTGCAAACAGCACAGATGGGTGGACAGCATAAGTCAACCATTTGCTGCTTTTGTTTGAGCACAGTTCTTTTCAACAGCCACTCAATGCCCTAGCCTGTTGTGTTTGGCAAATTTGCCAAAGAAGGACAACCGGAACGAATGAGGGCTGCACAATCAGGCTGTCCTGGTGAAACATAGGTGGCGCCTCTAAAGCACACAGACATCTGGTTGGCAATTTGGTAGCGCATCTTTGGACCTTAACAACTTTTTGGCTGAAACTTCATACCATTTTCCAATATTTTCCACATTGGACCCACAAAAAGTGATTCAACTTTTTGCAGAGGGGTCCTTCCGCAACCAAGACATGTGAATGGAGCAGTCTGGACAGCCTGGCCACGGGGCGTGGGAGGTACCGCAGCGAGTGGCAGGGCAAGGTGCTTGAGGCACGGGCGCCGATTGGTATAGCGGAGTTGGCTCTCAGGTCTCCGAACCCCAAAAATGGTGAAATGGCCGTGGGTCGAAATCAAGCCACCAGCGGACCGCAGGTTTTGGTCTATGTTTCCACTTACCAGGGTTCCATTTTGGGTACGCATGTTTGACACAGCCAAATGGCCATGGGGCAAAATCCAAATCGGTTAGCCCCCAGTGAACATCCCAATCCAACCACTAAAGTAGGTTCTAAAAAGGGTGAATTCACCAATCCTCCAAAGTGGAATCCCCAATATGGGATACCGTTGGTTTTGACAACCACAGCCAAATCGGTTGGAAGGCATAAGGCCTTCCATTGGTATCGCGCCTTTGTGGGCAATTCCCATCATGGATTCCTGAGCTACGGTATGTTGAATCCAAGATTGATGGCTACACTCTTTAAATTTATTCCGATCAACATTTTGGCAAAATAGAGGGAACCGCCAAGCTCCAAGTTCTTGATCGAGAGGAATTGCTCCACGCTGGCAGAAGTGCTCCAATCATATACCCTTAGCGTACCCGAACGAATTGGTGCCCATGAAAATGAAACATGCGTGAGCACGAAACCCCAAAGGGCACATTTGGCTGAGATTTCTGGACTAGTTCCTGGACTTTCGGGACTTGCTGTTTGGGAAGACCATATCAGCCTTTGCAAACAGTGGACTTGGGGCGATCCGCTCGTTGTATTTCCTTAGTTATCCTTCTGACATGGCTTCGCCACTTTTTGCAGGGAGTCGACTCGCCTGCAAAGGAACTTGGGTGTGTGTCAAGAAATCGGGAGACCCAAACAAGTGTTTTTCCTTGGTTGAAGGCACAGCATTCCCCGTATGCATCCTCCAAGCTGAGAAACACTTTCGAAACATGTAGCCTCGAACATGTGCGATGCAGTGACGGAACCCCCAAACTTTGGCCCCTCCAAAAGAGGATGCCGAGCATGTTTCGTTTGGCCAACTCAGCCAGGCAAGGTGGCCGAATGGCTGGCGCCTCCCAGAGGCGTGGTCATTCGGGGTTCGAGGAACCGCCTGCTCATTGAGAACCCCCCCCTTCTTGGTTGGTTTTCAACCCACCTTTTTGGGGCCCCCTCACTTTGAGAACCCGAAGCTGAAGCCTCAGGCCAAAGCAAGGCCAAGGCTTGAACTGTTGGGAGGGGGGGGGTTACAGTGTGTGAAATTCTGGAAGGCTGGGTCTGAATTTACCCGTTTCCAACTTAGCGGAAAGGAAGACAAGGGGCAGTTGTTTTAGTTTTCCACACCGCGCTTCTGGGGGTCCTGTTGGATAATGGTGCTGGGGCTTCCAGGTCCTCCCCAATGCATTTGGTGTCAACCGTCGTTTAAGACATTGGCGCTCCTAGATCTAAGGCGCGTTACTTCTCACGCAGCTGGGTTTGCAGCGTGCTATCCCTTATCATCAGCAGCAGTCTTCCCCTGCTGGTCGTGGGTGCAGCCGTGAGCGCGTTTGTATGCTCTGGGTGCAGACTTGCCGTCGACGCTATTCCCGATGTGTTTTGGGTTCTTCTTGCTTGAACAGCGCGCTTCCTGGTGCGAACCGCTGATGTTGCAGGTGCCGCTGCGGCTGGTGGAGCCTGCGTCGCTGGAGGAGTGGCTGGAGCTACAAGAAGACCTGGCACCGTGCTTGAAGTGGAACTTGTTTGTTAACGGTGCTTGGCTGTTGAGTTGGACCTTCATCCTTTAACTTCATGGAAAATGTGTGGGTGTGTCCAACAAACCAGCACTTCTTGCGTGGGGGAACAGCCACATAGCATATATGCGCTTCCTGTGTCTTTGTGACTAGGTGGGATTCGTCGACCCGCACCTCCCCTTCTCCGAGATTTCGGCTCCTTGACAATTTCAGGAGAGAGTGGCACGCGGGGAGTGGGCCCATTGGGAACGGCTGTCTTGGCTACTCTTGGCATTTGTTTCGTCTTCTTGTTTTTTTTTTTTTGTGGTTCCGTTCATTTTTATAGAGGTGGGTGGCCGCAGGCACTGTTTTTGGCTTCAGAACCTAGGGCCGCGTGAAAGACGGCTGAGAGGTTCCCCCAAGCTTTCGCTTTGATCCGGCGGAGTTTGGATCCAAGGCTCTCAGGTGCCGAAGTTTTGAGCTTAGACATCCCCGGCTGATTGAGACAGAAGACAAAGGAGCACCGAAACGGCAACCCGTGAAAGGCCAACTTGTCATTTCCATTTCTCATGGTTTCCAGTGGTTGGAATACCCCGGGAGGGCCGAGCCTCAGTCTCCTTGGCCAGTCGCCCCCCCAGCAGCGGAGATGAATCCCTGGCAAGAAAACAAGACGCGCTTCTTGGCGCCATTTCCGCCAAAGCCGCCAAAAAGGAAAAACAGGCCAATTTTGGGGTTAGCCGAAACTGCAGGTACTATTTCTGCCTAACCCGCGCAGGAAGGGAGACTTGTGGTTTTCCTTTGCATTGTGCCTTGGGACCGGCTGCTCCCGCCCCATCCCCGAAGCAATAGAAATATGAAGCTCCCCGGGCTTGCAAAATTGGAATTAAAGAAGAACCGTTGGTTGCGGGGATGGTTGTTTTCTAGATTTTATAATTTTAGGGGGCACTCGAAATATCTCCCATTCCCACGGGAGACCCCTTGGTGAAAGTCCCATGTCGCCAGAGTCCGGAAGCCTCATTTTTCCACGATGGAAGGCCCGGGAAGTGGAGACGACTCTTCTGGCGCAAGAGGAGGCATGTGCGAGAGGGACAGACAAAAGGGCGCAGGTCCTTTTTGGAAGTGCTTTTCTTTTTCGGGGCACCCAAGGGATTGAAACCACCCTTCGTAGAATTTGATGTTGTTTCGTGTTTCTCTTTTTCGGGCACCCAACAAATTGAAACCACCCTGTAATCACACACCCAAAATGCGGAACGTGGTTCACACACCCGCATCAGGTTTTTCCACTTGAGCAGGTGCATCTTTTAGGCAGAATCACCGACGAGATTGGGTTCTGACAACCTTTGGGGCAAATCCCCAACCCAAACATGAAATTGGGGGAGGAGGGTGGCCCTTAGAGATGTGTATATTCATGTTTCCTTTAGCACGGAAGACCGGAGAAGTTGAATCGGGGACCCCTCCCTCATTCATTAAGGTCGGAGGGGATGCGCCACCAGAAGCACTCGATCGATGTTTGTTTGGCGCGTGCACTTGGCGCCAGCAGCTCCAACGTGCCATGCTTTCGCCTTTCCGGGGCGCCGGGGGGGCGGGGGCGGGGGCTGCACTGGCGTTTTGACGAGTTACTTTTGGTGACTTTTGGGACTCACCTCAATAGTGCGTGCCGTTGTTGTTTTGCTCTTGCCGGTAGGTGCAACAAGGATGCATGGTATGCTCCAAAGGGGCCAGGAATCTGCGCAAATCAGAACGAGCTCGAATTGAGCTTTCCAGATTGCGAATTCTAGCAGTTTGCAATGGTCCAGACGGATTGAAAAAAACACTGGCTTTGGGTAAGATTGCATCCACGTCCAATCTATCCAGAGCGAAACCAACTGGGGATGGGCTATCAAATGGCTTGTTAAGTGGCCTTTGACCTGATTTGACGGCCATGGGTGCCATGGGCGCTGGTCGTTTTCTGCTTTTAACAGACCTGCCAACTGGACCCAGGGGTGCGAGATTTTCTACATTCGCCAGCTCTTCTCCTCCGAGGAGCCCGCTCCGGCCCCCCTTAGCCCCAAAGGTTATTTTTGGTCAACCTGGTCTTCGGCTTCCATTTGCTGAAGACTAGGTTTTGCTCTTTTCAGGTGGTTTTCACGAAAATATGTGCTACTGTTTTTGTTTTTTAGGGGACTTGAGGAAACCTTAGTTCAGGTGGGGCTGTGAAACCTGCAGGTATTACACTGTTCGTTGCATGTGCTTTAGATTTCGGTATCATACCCAGATTGGCGAAGATTCACATACGCGGACTCGGAGCCGTAGCACGGCGAGCCATAACAACCCAAGAGTGCCTACCCTCTGACGGCTTTCTTTTGTTTCCGGGGGGAGTAGGGACAAGCGACCCCGACCTTAGATCGACGGGCGAACGGGTCCATGAGAGTTGTTTCACCCAGTTCCCCTTAGATGACCTTCCCTATAAGCTAGGTCGGTTGAATTTCCAAATAGATATTTTTCAACAGCTTCAAATGTTGATTATTCACTTGTTTTCCTCGAAACAGGGAACCGTTGGTGGGTGGTTTGGATTGGTGGCTTGGGGATTTGAACTCCTGGCTTCCGCTGTCAGGGGGAATCTATGAAGCTGAGAATCAGTGGGTGTTTCTTAAAATTGGGAACCCCTCAAAGCCTTGGTTTCCTTTTGGTCAAAGTCAAAACTGGGTTTCTGTTGGACCCCTCTGCAAAACGTTTTTGACTTTTTGTGGGTTCAATACGGGGAGCCCTTGATTTCAACCAACAAGTCAAAGTCTAAAAGACCAACCCAAGAGCAATCAAGAGCTGGCTTGAAACTGACTGCGATTGTGCTTGAGCTTCTTTTGCTTTACTTGTGCGGGCGCTGCAGGCACTGGAGGTTGGGGATCCGCCTGAAGGGGGTTCCGAAATCCATGTTGAGCCCACAGGAGTGCCAGCAGCTGATTGCTTTGGGCCTCCGAACCTGCCAGCCTTCTACCTCTTCAGCAGTGGAAATTCCGCGCCTCGACGGTTTTTGGTCTGTTTCAAGACCATGGAAGGGTGATCTTCAAAGGTCACACGGACCCCTTGCGGAATGAAACAATACTTCTTTGCTCGGGAGGTGACATAGGTTTGATTGAAAAAGTGGGGACTCAAATAAAACATAGCTTGGTTTCCAATTCGGGTTGCCGTTTGCCAATGCAAAAGCCGCACTTGACCCATCGGACAATGCTCGGAAGGTGATTGAGCAGCAACGCCTCATTGGAACGCTTACCTTGCTATGCTTTCTGCTCTGAAGTAGCGGCATTCGCATGCACTTGGCTGAGTTGCACAGCTTTCTGCCCTACGGCCATTGCCAGGCGATCTTGCCTTGTCCGCTGTTTGCCCCTTTCAACCAAACAGTTGTCACCTTTGCGTTGTTTGACGCGACTGGCCCGGCCTGGAGACAGGGGAAGCATGAGGCTTGTGTCATCTGAGGCTTCCCAAAGCAGAGCACACTGCTCTGTGCAGTCGCCTAGACAGCATCGCCGGGAAGACACTACCGGCCTTGCTTCTTGGCTTGACTGTGTCCAACCGCGCTTTGTTTTAGGCTTTTTAGTATCCACTGCCCTCAAAACACTCTATGTAGCCTTGCTTGCTGATTGGATCCAATTGAACATGAGCAAGCAAGCGTCAGAGGGAATGCAAGGAACAATGTGCTTTTTACTCCCTCAACCCCAGCCCCGCCCTTCTAACTCCAGAAGCCAAAGATGTGGGTTCGACCAACGGTCGATTAAGACACTCCAGCAGAGTTGTGTATAATTACATGGCGTTACATAGATATTGTATATTGTATATTGGCTATGCAGTCGTGGTGTACTCCCGCCCCACCCTTTTCACCCTTTTGATTTGGGGGTACTGGTTTGGGGGTGGAGGTTCCCACCCGTCAAGCCGAAGCTTGGGAGCTTGGAGGTGTACGTCCTTTATATGTTGCGGGATTTGGTTTTTTGTTGGGCCCTGATTTTGTGCCTAAAGAAAAACCATCACGTTCTGCGCGGGGCCCCCAAAAAAACGCCACATCATCCACATCCAAGCATACCGGGTGGCAAGCAGTTGTTTGACATCGGAGGCTTTGGGAGGCCCCGGCGGCGAGTTCTTCGGTGCGCCGCGCCGCGAAGCTGACGGCCTGGCTGGCCGGGGGTGCCGAGCTGGCCGCGTGGACTCAAGCGGAGCGGATGGCTCAAGCAATGCTCAGTGCAGGGTGGGATCGAGGAATTGGTTTGATACAATAAAACCCCCTTTTATATGAACACTATTAGTCTTTGGGAAGCCCTTTCCATTGTATCACAGAAGTGGTCATTCCCCACAGCCCTGGCTCAGTGGGTTGGTTCAAAGGGGATCGGTTGACGCTCCAGCCTAACAGCCGAAAGATCCCAGGTGGGGGGAGGGTAAAGGGAGACGAAAAGCAGGTACCCTACCACCAAATAAGATGTGAAACCAAATGAGAAGGTACCGCGCTAAGGTCCAATCCACCAACTAAGAAAAGTACAGGTGCCCCTGTGTAGACAAAGGGCTTTTTTTGTCTCCTTTTTTCGAGGAACCCTTTTTGGTTTGGGGGGTGGTTTTGGAGGAACTTTGTTTGTGTCTTTGTGGGGGGGGGGTTCCCTATTTTAGGACGTTCGTGTCCAAGGAGAAACCCTTCAAAGGGAGAAGAAACCACGGAATATCTTACTTTCGCAGTGCCAATCGTTGCCCTCTCTCACTTCCCCACCTTCTGGGTGTTTTCTTTTGGGGAAGATCATCGTAGCATTTTAAGACACATTTGACATGATGGGGAACATTGACTAATTCATAAGCAACCACCCACCCACCCAACCCCCGCCGGGCGTCTTTTTAATCAGAGGGGGTTTGTTCATCATGTGCCGAGTGCCGACATGTCTTTTTGGTGCCATTCCACTCGAGTGAAAAGCAGAGAGTTTTGAGCTTGTGGATACAGTCGGGGCACCAAAAGATTCTCCAACCGTCCTTGCTAAAGCTTCTCTTGGGGCGATTTCGCGTTCACATGCGGAGGAGCATGCGATGTCTAACCATCTAAGATGTTATCCGCAACCCTGAAGCCAGCACCCCCACGGGAAAAACATTGATATTTGCTGTATGTCGCATTAAGCCTTTGACGGTGCTGATGTGCAGGTGGTGGAAAGAATCATAGACAGGTGGTGGAAGCATAGACAACACTGGGTAGATCCCGCAAACACTGATAAACTTAGAACGCCAGGCTCCCTGCACCGAAGTCAGGCCTTCCCTTGGCTGAGCGGCGCGCCTGAGCCGGTCTCGGGCGACGACCGCGCCGCTTGGGCACGGCTGCTGGCGGACGCCAACGGCCCAAAGTCCTTGACGGTGAGCCCCAAGGTCGGCGATGCGGTGCTGGCGCCTCGGACGGTGCGATAGGTAGGGAATAACCGAGACCGGGTGTTGGGAGTGAACCGGACGGGGACTCCCTCAAAGGAAAACACGGAGGATGGTTTATGGAGGTCATTGCCTGATTCGCAGTTGACAACCGACAAGTTTTAAGGGGTTCCGAGATGCTGCATGATTGTCCTGTGCAACCTGGAACCCCTTGTTAGAGTTAGTTTAGGGCCCCCGATGCTTCTAGAATGGCATTTGCCGATTCGTTTTTGTTATTTGGCGAGTCCACCGATCGATATCGCGGGGTAAATCACGCTATAGTTTCCTTACTTGGATATCCAATTTTGTGTGGCTTTTGGAGTCATTACACAATTTGAAGGATCCTGGCGGAAGACATGCACTCTAGACTCAAGCTTGCGACTAGGGCCGAACTTCTCATTCAACAGTATTCCGTATGAGGAAACTATGATGGGACCGACCACTTGCACTCCAGAATGATCTCTGCAATTGCTTGCAGCCAAATCGGACTGCTGTTGAACACCTTACGCTCGGCCACCATGTTCAGCTGCTCCAACAAGGTGAACGGTCATGCAAAGATGGTTGGCCAAGCCATTGGGAAAGAGGCCCGTCCATTCTGGGCCAGGGAAGCCACAAGGAAGCTGCATGGGGGACAAGCCAAATGCTATGGGGAAAGGATACTGTGCCGAATCGATTTGAACTGACCTGAGGCTTCCAAAGGTTAGCCGTGTAAAAAAATGAAAACATGATATAAGTATTGGGGACTTTTCGATATCTTCCCGGCGTGTTCTCTAGGTCTTTGTGACGGGCCGAGGGGACTTTCCTTGGCCTTCGCCTCAGCTTCCATTACCTAGGAACTATTCTTTTGTTAATATGTGGTGGACTTGGTGGACATCAGAACTGCCAAGGACCTGGTGGTCCACTAGGTGTCGGAGCACCAGAAGGGGCTTGCGAGTGAAACACCATCCCACAATTTGAGGTGCGCGGATCCCCGTAGAATGTTCCCCCCCCCTCCCCGGGTCTCGGGTGAAGGTTAATTGTGTGGATATCCGCCTTGTAGGAACTTGTCACAGATTTAGTCAATGCCACTTGGCAAGTTTTATCTTGAGGATACTGACTCTAGTGCAGCCTGCGTTGGAGGTGCAGAATTACATAAAGAAGATCACGTTTTTTGTGTTTCTTTTAAAAAAGATAAACATAAAAATATATTTAATCTGTCACAATGGATTCTTTACACGGTTTGGTAGACTAATTTAATGACATGACTCTGGTGAGTGCTGCCCACTTAAGCATAGATTTTGAACCAGCCTTTCGGCCCGTTCCACATGAGCTTCCTTTGGAGCAGTGTGTCAGGGGGGCATCTATTTTTTGTTCATGGGGGGAGGGAGGGGGGAGCCCCAATATGCTTGATAAGGGCTTATTTGGGCTCCTCTCCCCCTCCCCTCCCTCACCCCCCCAGCCCCCATGATTTGTGGACCCCAAAAGTGACAACAAAAAAGCAGACGCGAGCGGAGGTCCTGTCTGCCGGGCGGTGCGGCTGGCATGTGCAGCGCCCCGATCCGCACGGCGCTTGGACAGTGCAGAAGCTCACGCCCGAAAAGTCGCGCTCAAGCAGCGGTATGGCCATGGGTCAAAACCCGTACCCCCAGTGAACATCCAAATTTCCACTAAATTAGACTAGTATGGGTGGTGCACCTACCCCAAAATGGTACCATTGGTTTTGACGCACAGCCATATAGGTGCCGTGTCAAGAGATTGGAACTGTGCTGCACAAATTCTCGGAAAACGGCAATGTTATTCAGTAAAGTGGGCACCAAATCCGGATGTTTAAGCAGGTTTTCAAGATGTTTCACTCACTCCCCACAGAACTCCAGCACAGCTAACTCCGGTGAGTTCTTCCCAAAGGGCCTGCCAGGTTTTAGTATCCCTAAAGGAAGCCAACAGGGGGATAATTTGTGCCAATTTGCCAGATTGGCGTCCAATTCAGCTACCTGGTACCGCAGTCCAAGACGGCTCAAGCACAATGGACACATGAGCCAGCGGCCGCTCGTGACACGAGGCCAGGGATTGGACGACTCAAGCCCTTTTGATGGGCCACAAGCAAAACCTGAATGAAGCGGGCGCGGAGCCCCCGCTCATGAGCTCATGAAACCTGCCGTGTGTGCTCTTTTTGGGCGAGCTTACCTGTGGCTTTAACGACCGTGTAGGTCCCTTACCGTGGGCGCCCCAAAACAAGTCAGATGTTTGGATAATTGCAGATGTTGCGCATAAAGCTGCTACCACTCCCCAAGCACACGGGCTGTGGGCCCAAAAGAGTTTTGTCAAATACGGTAGCAGGTGTTTGTGATGCAAGCCTGTCTGCCTTTCATGCCCACCCCCCACCCCCACACCAGTGTCTTTGTTAGATTGACTGGCCAGCGGATGTGGGCCTTCAGGCAGGGTCAACAGTGCGGTGTATCCTACCGCAATCGTCATTTTGGGAAACCACCATTCTTCTATTCTCTTGTGGGTCCGAAAAGAAGGATCCCTAGTGTCTCTGGGGGAAGTGCAACAAGAAGATATGTACTATAGGTGCCATGCTGCAAAAAAGAGCAAAGGCTCTTGGGGTCAACAGGCATGGACCCCTTGTGATTTTAGACAGCTACTGCAAGGGTTCCGAAGAAGGGACCCACCCTGACCCACACATTCGGAGTTTTGAACATACGGCATTCCCATGTTTTCCCATGAGACCTTAGCCGATATGCCTATGTGCGTTTTCACCGTGCAGGAGAGTCCGAACGCCGAACGCCGACTGAAGGCTGATATGGTTAACTTGCTGGTGCTCAGGCAATGACATGACCGTTCCGGCTGTTGGGAATGCACCCGACAAATTACCAAGTCGGGGATAGTTGTCTCGGAGTCATTCCCATTGCCTCGCGAATCTGCAAGTTGTTTCACCTCCATACCTCAGCCCATGGTGTCCCATGTGTCCCTTATCTCCCAATGGCTGTGGGTCAAAACCAATGGTATCATTTTGGGGTAGGTGCACCACCCATTTTAGTCTATTTTAGTGGGGATTGGGATGTTCAGGGTACGGGCTTTTGACCCATGGCCAAATTGCAACAGCTTTGACCTTCTTGGGCCTCGCGCAGGTCACGGCTGCCTGTAGCTTCGAAGGTCATGCCCGGGCCCCTGATTCCCAGGCTTGGCTGCCGTAGCATCCAAGAGCTTAAACCGGGCTCCCCGGTTTGCAGGACTCTCATGCTTCATTTGTTTACAGGATCAAGTTTTGGAGTCATTCCGAGGTGTGTGTTTCAGCTCATGCTTAGGTATACTTATCGGATCGCAACTACCCGATCTATACCTGCCCAGCATGAAACATGAAGGGCTAGGAACTTGCGCTCGGAGACACTGGCAAACGTCTCACCGTGCGGTAAACGTCTCACGGTTTGCCGCCCAGGCTCCGTCAGCATTGGCCTCTGGTATTGGCTCTCCTGCTGGTGCTTCTAGTGCCAGCGGAGGCGGCCATTACTTGTGTGAAGGCGGGAGGCTGGATGGATTGGTTTGGTTTCAAGCCCCTGGCCTCACTCTTCTAGGTCCCCCAGTAGTGCCATTTTACCCTTTTTGGGGAGGGTCCCCCTACTAAAACAGAACAGAAAAGGGTACCCTTATTCTAACCTCTCTACTGGAGGACCTAGTCTTCTTTTTTCATGTTTTTCGCGTTCGGTTTGGTTCTGTTCATTTTGGCTTGGACATGTTGGAGACCGTCCCTTTCCCAGACCTCGATCTCGGTGCCTTTCGGCTTGAGGGGGGCCCGTTTTTTAAAATTCAATTAGCAAGAGTGCTATTCAAGTGGCCAGCTTTCGAGCATGAATGGATCCTAGCCATCCCTGGGTTCCCGAAGGGGATCTTTCGCTTCATTACAAAGGAAGTGGTTCATTCCCATGACCACTTTATCACTTGGCGTAGTTTGTTGGCCTCTCACAGAAACTGGCCGCCTGGCAGAGTTCTGACCACTCCGCTTAGGAGGCAAGTGTTTTCGGGGGCCGCACAAATTTTCAGAAGATCAGGTGAAGCGCTGGATCGAGTACGTGGCGATTTGCTGTTGCACATGTGCGCCAGGGACTTATGTGAAGTTTCAAAGGCAGAGGAATCTACCTTTGGCAGTTTGGATAATGATTTTTAGGCGGGTCCCCTTTTGGCCCATCTCCTTAGGAGGGGAACCTGTTTGGGCGTATCTGACTTGTTATTTTTGTCTACCCGGTGTGTGTGAGTGCCTAGGCAGGGACGGATGGATGAAGCTGGGGGCCAGTAAAGATTGCGTTGTATCACTAGGGCACCCAAAACCGTGTTGGCCAGTATAGTAGATGATTCTACTACCTGGCTTGGGAGTGCACACCACAGCAACCATGTTGGTAGAACCAATCGTCAATTGGCTTTTGGGCGCTTCTCAGTTGGCGCACTTGGCAACAGGCGCTGCTTGACACTGCCAATTGGTAGCTTGCGCATCTCATCTGTCTGCTGGGAGGACAGCAAACATGTTGGATGGCTGTTGTCAATCCCTTGGGTTTGAATCGACCCGATGTGATTTCACCTCGGTGATGTTCAGATTGCCAGCGGCCGGCTGGAAGGCCTCCACAGGTTTAAGTGGTTTCAACTTGTTTCCTTTGCTCAGCGGGGGAGTTCAGCTCTTTAAGTCATGTGTCCGGTTGTGGGGTTGTGTCCCATAGCGAGCTGGGCCCAATGGTTTCAGTCTCTTGTTCTTTCACGCGCATCGCTTTTTGTTAAAATCGAGGTCTATCTTGTGCTCCATTCTCGTGCTCTTCTTCCTGACGAACAAGACCGGGAGTGAAGACGGTGACCCATGGGCAGGCTCGACTCGGGGTGTTGCAGACGAGTTGGAAAGTGGTGTTTGGCCCACTGGAAATCAAGGCCTTGCTGATTCAATCCCAGTTTTAAGGCATGCTCAAGAGTTCAGAGAGAGCGGATGTTGTGTCCTTCTGGGCAGCCGCCCTATGTGACCTCGTTGTCTTTGGTTCTTTCCGGTGCCTCTCTGTCCGTGCGGGTGTTGCTTCTTTCTTTTTCTTCTTTTTGGGGGGGGACTGGCCTTGAAGGGGGGGTACCCTTTTGGCGCTGAAAGCTTGGATCTCTTGCGCAAAATGTAGCAGTCAAGTAGCAGTTTCCGGCCCGGCTGGCTTTGGTTTCTCAGTGTTGGGAGGGGCGAGCCTTAAGGCATGATCAGACAGTGGCAGAAGTATTGGCAATATATTTGTAGCGTAGCTTAGCTTGATTCTTGTCTTTCTCATGTTGGCTGAGTTTGCTCGGGCCAAGCGGAAAGTCTTGACAACAGAATTGTTTTTGGTGGTTGCTACAATGGATTTGGGGGGAGGGTGGCCAAGCCTTCCAACC